TTGCATTTCAAAACAAAATCCAATAAATGAAAAATGAGGTGCGACGTCCAGCCTACATAGCGCTGTATGCTACGATAATTAAAAAACGTAGCTGCTTGTAAATCTAAGCAGCTTTGTCGTACACAACTATAAAATAGCGTCCCATGGCAACACGTACATAAATACATTCAACAAGGAACGAACACTATGTAGCACATGCTCATGTCATTAGCCCTTTTTTCCGCAATGCGCGATGTTGTTATCGCGATTTGAAGCGGGTGCAATTGGAGAAAACGATAGAAAAGTTATTCGCGGGCAGCTGGATAGCTACTACACTAACTCGATTACAAATATGCATATGTGTGTGCGTGTTTGAGGTAGTTAAGTAGCGTTAAGCATGCGAGAAGCCGTGGAGATCGATACGAGTGGCGGGAGTGGACGAGATATCCCTGCTTCCTCGAAGTAGTCAAAGGGCGATTTCTGAAGAGCCAATGAGTTGATGTGTTCGTCGGGTGGAAAGCACGCGCGAAGGGCAGCTGATGTGTAGCTATAAAGAGTCACAGTTGTTGATCCAGAACAGCCGAAGCATTTAAGCCGCGGATGCGTGCTGAATGAGCCCCGCGAGCCGGCGACTGCCGAGGCCATTCCGCGGGTCAATGCCTTTTCATCTATTGAGTTGGCGTTGAAATTTGCTATGAATGAGTTGCTAATTAATGCAAACGGCGCCAAGTGGGTTGACTTATACATTACAGCATCCAGAACGACACTTAAGGGAAAAAAAACTAGAGAGTTTGGAAACTGGGAGACTTTGCGACATGAAAGTTGTATAAATTAGACACAAAAGATAAATGATTAAACAAAGTCAGAAAAGCAGTAGGTTCCGCAGTCTTTAAAGCACGCAGGTGCATAGAAAAGGGATATTTGTAAAATTTTAAGTAACAAATAAGTACATGCATCAACGATGTTGCAGAATATCTTTGGAAAGAGGGGGCGGGGGTAGGAAGGGATGGGAAGAATTTTGGTCGAAAAGGGGCGTGGTATAGGCCGGGTCAATTCACGCAGCTTTTTGACTTATTGAATATTTCTTTTTTCGCAAGTTTCTATAAATTATTAGGAAAACAAAATCTATCATAATGAGTAAGTAAGCCATTCTCTTGTTTTGACTGACATTTCAGAATTTTCTTAAAATTCATATCCCAAAGTTGGCTGAAGAGAGTCGGGAATAGGAGGGAAGGGCGGGGAAGGGAGGAGAAAAAAGGGAACGAATAAGCTTCCCCGCAGAATACTCTAAGTAAGGTCAAGGCTTGAGAATCGGAAAACTTTCTTGATCAAAGTTTAAAGGCTTGAGCACTTTGAGTTTAACGCAAAATAGCAGCAAAAGAATATAAAAAGGAGCAATAGAAATATAGCACTTATAAGTGTTCAATTACCTTTTTATAGAGTTGAATTACTATTATTACAGTAATTACGTGTTATGTTCAACATTATTAGCTTATTATTTCCTAAAATAAATGGCAATATCGAAAACCATTTTAGAACCGTAATTGGTAATGACGTGATTAGAGAAACATTTTGCAACTGCTTTAATAAGGTCTCTACGGGAAAGAAGCAGACTATCCGAAGCATAGCAAGGTTCAATGAGATTACAGCAGCCTCGCGACTAATTAAATCAGCTGAGAATAGAGTGTGAAAGAGGAAGGCAAAAAATGAAATAAAAAGAACATAAAGTCATTAATTAATGCTATACACAGTTGATTTCACTGCTACAGGTCCATTTCTATTTTAGATTGCATGTGAACAGGAGAATACAAAATTTCGATATTAAATTATTAATATTCGGCAAAAATGTCCTTGTGTGTAAGTTCGTATTCCGATTGGTGCTTTATTATTTTTCAATTTTGTTAAATTTTTGCTAAGAAATCATTTTGTCCTCCCAGGCTTTTCAAACACCTTTTTTTGCTTTATGGAGCCAACCTAGAAACTTATAACAATAGGTGTATTCAGGAAAAAAGTGGATTTGAATAACTAACTAACATTACTCTTCTTGTACGTCTCATTCAAAGTAAATAATGAGTGAAATGTGTTATTAGCAAAAAGTCTATCGGCGAGCCGTATGTATTTACAAGATGCAATAGGAAACAGCTCGAATATTCTAATTCAAACTTCAGTGTTTTTTCCACCTTTTTATCGTCGCGCGTGCCTAGAAAATTAATATTCTTCAAATGACTAAAGGAATAATTCGTAGAACCCTCAATAACGCGTAATCGTATATTCTTCCCCCAGCATATCTCAAGTGCGTAGTTCACATGTAGTTCACAGTTCACA